CACGCAGAAAGATAGTGATAAGCCGTCCTCGTTAGTATAGTGGTGAGTATCCCCGCCTGTCACGCGGGAGACCGGGGTTCGATTCCCCGACGGGGAGGTTGCGAGCACGTTTTTCCTTAAAATTCATTTTTCTTCTTCCCGCACGAATTTTTCCAATTTCCGAAGGACGGGGAAAAAAAAAAAAAAATCAGTTTTGTGTGTGCGAACCAGCGCGTTCCCATGTTTCTAAGGGTTGCATGAAGGCCACAGAGGGGTCCGTACACTGCAGGCCCACAGCCCTCCCCCGGCCCGGCGGGGACCCGGAGCCCGCATCGCTCTTCCCCGCACCGGGGACAAGGAAGCGCAGACAGGACGGAATTGGGCGGCGGGCAGGAACGGAGCCGCGGGCAGGGGGATGTAGCTCAGCGGTAGAGCGCATGCTTTGCATGTATGAGGTCCCGGGTTCAATCCCCGGCATCTCCATGGGGTTACTGCTCTTTTGGGTTTGGCTTTTTCCCCCTTCCCCCCCGTGATGTCTTTTATCCAGTTAAAGTCGCCATTTCTCGTTAAACAAGCAGCAAACCATGACCCTGCTCCTCAAACGGGTCCCCGGTGGCACACCTTGGTGGCACAAGATAGCTTTTTTTCTGTTACTTTTTTCTCCTCAGGCCTGTGCAAACACACGTGGCTCTTGCGTTCTGCTGGAGTTCCGTCGCCACGCCAAGGCCCTACAGCAGCCCAAAAGGAGGGACAAAGCTCCAAACCCCAAAACGCAGGAGACACTGGCCAGCCCCACCTGACACCTCCTCATCCCACAGCCTGGCAGAGCTGGGGACGTGCAGACCTGCAGCCACACAGAACTCACTCTGCTTCACATTCCCAGAGCCAAGGGGGAGGGACAAACACCAGGACACCCCAGGTGACTGCAGTCACTGGCTGTGACAATGCAGGAGCTTCTCCCCTTCTCTGACCTGTCTTTGCAGTGCCCACTCCCCTCCACCGTCCTGCTCAGCCCCTCGGCAGCGTGGGCAGCTTCGCCCAGAGCAGCTTGGAAAGAGCTCTTGGGGAAACAACCTCTCTGCTTTGATCTCCTCAGGCTGGCTGGGCTCATCAGGAAACCCATTGGAGCCGGGAGGGCTGAGTTGTGGCAAAGTTGAGAGTTTTGGCCCAGAGAGACCAAAGCCCATGTAGAGCCTGAAACAGCTTTTATCTACACAGTTCAGTGGCAGCTGTTTCATCTCACTGCTCAGTTACCAGTAGTGAATCCAACAGCAGTGGGAGATGATTGGTGACAAATGCAAAGTGACATTTCCTGCCACAGTGGCTGAAAAGCTCCTTGTGCTATTTATTTACTCATCTTACTTCCAGTTGTTATTTTGAGCCAGTATTTGGCTACAGCACTGCTAAGTGTGAATATCCCTGTTGTAAATCACTCCCTGGATCTCCCTGGGCAGCTGCACTTCTGGAATATGCCCTGCATGTAAATATAAGAAATAGTTTGTTCTAACAGGCACAAAGTAACTTTTTGGCACAGGAAGTTGGTATTTGTCAGTAAAGCAGGTCATGATCAACATATTCATCAAGCCTGCACTGAAATCCTAACGATGGGTACTCAGAGAGGCAGGGTAGGATAAACAAGGGAGGGCTTTGTTCACAGAAATCCTCTCCCAGCTCAGGAAACACTGTCCTCCTGCAAACCACACAGATGTGTTTAAGGACTATTGGATGAGGGCCGAACATCTGCCTTGCCAATCTCAACCTTTAAATGTGTGCTCCTCCTGTGTTTGATTCAGATATCAGGTATAAACTCACTCAGGATGCTCAGTGCTTGGCTGATTACCCTAATTAGGTGAAGAACAGCACTGTGTCATCTTATTTCTTCCTGTTACAAAACTCCATCTTGTCAGGAAATACCTTTCCATGTGCATTTTTTACTATTTTCAGACCAGTCCTGAGTACTCCCTCTGTAACTAAAAGAACAAGCTTAACATTAATATTCAGCTGAGGAAAGACCTAAACCTGGAAGGCTTTTCCAATCTTTGATGTTTATTCAACTCCCAGTGCACACAGTGTCAGCCACTGAGCACCGAGAAGAAACCAAAAGACTTCTGTGGATTTTTTCTTCCCCCGTCTAAATGACCGGAGTGTTTGAGATTATTATCACTGCTGCTGTGGTGAGTGTTGGTACAAACATGAGGCAGCAGAGGCCGAGGAGCTCCCCAGAGCGTTCCCCTCCTGTAACAGCTCCATGTGTCAGCCAGACACAGGCGGCTTCCCTCAAACCAATCACAAAGCTGTTGCTGGGCCTCTGCTCTGTTCCTGCTGGTGAGCAGTCCTGGGTGTTATCTGTGTCCCTTCCATTTTCCTTGGGTGCTGGCAAACGAAGGATTTTGTAGGCGGATTGGACCGCATGGCGTCTCCTGAATCTTGCAGACAAAGCCCCGTTTTGTTCTCAGCCATGGCCTGGAATTGCTGTGCAGTTTGACTGGGATGGTACAGGAGCCAACTGAGTGCAGCAGAGATCTGCCAGAATGTGCTCTGCAAGAACAGAATAAGAAATAGGCATTATTCTGATTTGTTTATGATTGATTTTACCCCAGTGGCAAGGCCTTAGTCCTGAATTACGAACTCCACGATAGCTCAGATGCACAGTCTGCTTTATGTGTGTGTATATAAACACTCATTGTATCTCAGGCAGACCATCTGCAGGACTTGGAACTCTGTATCTGTCAGGGCCTTTTTTGTCCCTCATGTCACCTCTCCACTCCAGGCAGGAGCCTCCTGTAGCCCCCTTTTCCTGAGGTGGTCCAGCCTCGGCAGGTGTCCCAGCACCATCTCCTCCCTGTACCCTCTCCCACGGCCATGGTGGCACTGAGGGTCTGGCACGACCTGCCCGTCCCAGCGGGGTTGTGTCCTCATGTCTAAAGCCCTGAATAAAACGTGAGGCTCTGAGATAAATCTTTAAACACGGGCATGTCTCCGAGGTGGGCTTGCTGAGGCGCCATGGCCGCAGTCCCGTTCCGGCGGCGGCTCCACGCCGGGTTTTCCGGGCGCTGCTCGCGCCCCGGCGCCGCTCCCCGCGCGCGCTGGACGCAGCGCACCCACGCGCGGGGGGCACAGATCTCCCGCGCTGCCCCATCCGCCCAGCGCACGCAGGAGAGTGGCGGCGCGCGGGGCCGAGAAAATAGTGCGCGCGGAGTGATCCGGCTGGGGGCGGGGCGCGCGAGACATGAGGGGGGGGATTGTGGCGCAGCGGTGAGTCTGTGAGTAATTGTGCTGTCGGCTTGGCCTGCCAGCCCCGCGGTGAGTGCTCGGCGGGGGGAACCGCTTGGCGTGGCGGCAACAGGGCTTAGATGCATGCTAGGTGTCCGGGCGGGACACGCAGAGTGTATTGCGCGCTGAGAAAGAAAGGGCGATGGCTGGGGTCAATGGCGGGCTGTGAGGGCCGGGGCGTTGCCCTCTCTTAACGGCAGCACCGCGAGCGGGGCGGAAAAGGGAAGGGGGGAAGGGCGAGGGCGAGCGTGCACCAGCGAAATGGCGGCGCAGCGCAGGCCGAGCCGCGCCCGCGGGCGGGAAAGGGAAGGGGCGGAGACCACGCCCACATCCCGGAAAGGGTGGGGCCGTCGCTGTGACGTCACCGCCGGGGAGCGCGGCCCCGGGGAGCGGGAGCGTTACTAAAGCACAGCGGGTTTGTCTCTTCCAGGGAAAAATGCAGATCTTCGTCAAAACCCTGACTGGAAAGACCATCACCCTTGAGGTCGAGCCCAGTGACACCATTGAGAATGTCAAGGCAAAGATCCAGGACAAGGAAGGCATTCCCCCAGATCAGCAGAGGCTGATCTTCGCTGGGAAGCAGCTGGAAGATGGTCGTACCCTGTCTGACTACAACATCCAGAAGGAGTCCACTCTGCACTTAGTGCTGCGCCTCAGAGGTGGGATGCAGATATTTGTCAAGACCCTGACTGGCAAGACCATCACCCTGGAAGTTGAGCCCAGTGACACCATTGAGAATGTCAAGGCCAAGATCCAAGACAAGGAAGGCATTCCACCCGACCAACAGAGGCTGATCTTTGCTGGGAAGCAGCTGGAAGATGGTCGTACCCTGTCCGACTATAACATCCAGAAAGAATCTACCCTGCACCTTGTCCTGCGTCTGAGAGGTGGGATGCAGATCTTTGTCAAGACCCTGACTGGCAAGACCATCACCCTTGAGGTTGAGCCCAGTGACACCATTGAAAATGTCAAAGCCAAGATCCAGGACAAGGAAGGCATTCCCCCAGATCAGCAGAGGCTGATCTTTGCTGGGAAGCAGCTGGAAGATGGTCGCACATTGTCCGACTACAACATCCAGAAGGAGTCCACCCTGCACCTTGTCCTGCGCCTGAGGGGAGGGATGCAGATCTTTGTCAAGACCCTGACTGGCAAGACCATCACCCTTGAGGTCGAGCCCAGTGACACCATTGAAAATGTCAAGGCCAAGATCCAGGACAAGGAGGGCATTCCTCCCGACCAGCAGAGGCTGATCTTTGCTGGGAAGCAGCTGGAAGATGGTCGTACCCTGTCTGACTACAACATCCAGAAGGAGTCCACCCTGCACCTTGTCCTGCGCCTGAGGGGTGGTAACTGAACCAACAGGTTGTTGCATCCAAATAAAAAGTTTCTCTGCACTTGTTCATTCCAATAAAGCTGTTGCATCCACAAAAATTTATGTCTCAGGTTACGTGAACAACTGTTTGTGCCGTTTCCCAACTCCAACTCTTTAATAAACAATAATTACGTAGTTTCTGCAGACAAAGGAACTGTAAAACTGCCTTAGGCAAGGCTCCCACTTGTCTGGCAAGCGTAGCTAATCCCTCAGCCTTGGTTTTCCTGGGTTGTATAAGTGTTCCCTACCAGCTGCAGCTCGGTGCCCACCTGCAGATGTTGCGCAGCTGTGGGCGTTGTGTAAGGGTGGACATGTAATGGGAAACTGCAGTTGTTGCTGAGCTGGGAGGATTTGAAACCCAGCTCTCGGTTTCCCAGCAACCGCCAGGTTCTGCCCTTGTTTTGAGATTTATGGAGCAAGCAGAAGGGTGATCCTGAAGCTCCAACACAGGGTGGGACTGAGACATCACTGCTGGTCCTGCAGCCCTTGGGCTTGGGAAGTGGTGTGGCAGCCTGAGTACATTAAGCAAACTAATTAAACTAATTTCACAGACACTGGAAATCTGGAATGAACTTCATTCCAGCGGTGCCCCAGCTGGAAATACTGTGCTAAAATACCACAGCAGTGTCTGTGTGCTGTAAAGCCCTGGCTGAAGGGAAGTTTCCACTGAAGGGTTTGTGGTGGAGGTTGCATTTAGGAGCTGACTAGTTGTTAACCACAGCTGTGCTGGCCATGGGATGGGGGAAGGGGAGAGGCTGAGGGAAACAAGTGCCCTTTTTTAAAGAGTGGTTGCCTTTGGAAGGGGATGGTGGTGGGAGCTGAGTAGTGGCCTGAGCTGATCACTGACTTCAGGGAGACCCAAAGGGATCTTAACACCGATAGTGGGATTGAACTCAAGTATCACCAAGTGTTATTTTAAGAAGCAGTGGGAGATGCTTTTAGGGCTGTGTGGCCTGTAAGGAGCGAGTTTGGATCACAGAGATCTGTGCTGATCTGGCGGAAGCTCCTGAACACTGCCGAGCTAATCCCACGTGGGTGACGGCTGGTGCTGTGCCATCGCTAAGTTACTGTCGCGTTCCTGCAGGGGTGTCACCAGGCTCTGCCCACGCCTGTCCTGGTTCCAGTAACTGATCACCAAACAACTGCAACCATCAGTTTGCCATCCTGTGGGATTTCTGGTCTCTTGGGGCATCCAAATTCACGCAGCAGTTACAAACTGAGCAGCCCTTCAGCAGGGCTCTGGCTCCTTAAACACGGGGGTCTGGTCGGCTAAAGGGTGAGTGTTGCTGGAATGCAGGGAGCTGCTCTTATGGAACAAGGAAGAAGTGCAGCTTGGTGTGTTTTCATAATGCCTTTCTCTACATGCTTGGTAAGATTAGCTTTGGGAGTCTGGTGATTCAAAAAAAAAAAGCTGGAGAAAATAACTTCAAGTGGTTCTGATTTGAAGGCAGCCTGACTGCTGGGGGGGGAGAGCACTGTCACAAAAAGCCTACACAAATGACTGCAGAGATGTGTTTTAAGAAACTCATTTTAAAAGTCTCGGTGAAAAAAACTCTACAATGCTATGTTTAAAAACAACAATGCTGTAGAAACCCCTGACAGCAACCCTGGAGTGTGCTGCAGCCAGGCAGAACAGGAAGCCTGGAGAGGAAACCCAAGCAGTGTTCTCATGAGCTGAGTCAGCCATTGCCTCTCACAAAGGGAACGCCATGGAGCTGTGTCAGGGGGGTTAGGTTGGATATTAGGGAAAGTTTCTTCCCCTGGAGGGTGGTTGGGCACTTAACAGGCTCCCCAGGGCAGTGGTCACGGCCCCAAGGCTGCCACAGTTTAAGAAACGTTTGGACAATGCTCTCAGGCACATGGTGGGATTTTGGGACTGTCCTGTGCAGGGCCAGGAGCTGGACTCGATGATCCTTGTGGGTCCCTTCCAGCTCAGGACATTCCATGATTCCCTGACCTCTGCAGATCGCTTTGCTTGGTTTGAGGAATTTCAAGGTTCACAGTGGCAGTGCCGACGCTTCAGAGGTGGCACTCCTGATCAGAGAGCACATCTGGGGTGGGATTAACCACAGAACAGCTAAATTTGATGAGAACAGCAAAGTACCTAATAAACCTTAAGGACGTCTTTTGTTCTAACCATGGTGTGCCCAAAAACATTCTCTGGGAACATGCTGTTCTGAGACCTTCTCACGATCACATTGTTCCGCAGCACCTCAGGGCATCTCCTGGATTTTAGTGGGCTTTATTGGGATTTGAAGAAAAATTCCTTTCACAGAATTTCTTTGTAGCAAAATGTTTTAAAGTAAAAGAAAACACAGCTGGTCTGAAAGCGTTGCTGCTGGGGAGAAGGGGGACAGCCCGCTGCTGCCTCACCTGCAGAGACCGACAAGGATCGACCAGAGACATCCGTTAATTAATCTGGCAATTAATCAGAGGCAACTACCAGAGTGAAAAGGGGTCTAGAAGGAAAAAAACAAAAAAAGACACAATTGAGGGTAAAGATACAAATGCAGGTGTTCCACCAAGGTGAAGACCATGGCAAGAGTCAAGTGCTGTGCTGTGCTGGCCTCTGCCTGGTGGGAGCTGTGGGTTGTATGGAGGACAGCGTGTGGGAGCTGGGTGCACTCCAGTTTCCAGTCCCTTTAGCTCAGGGACAATGGGCTTGTTTTCAAACAGGCTGTCACAAACTGGACTCTGTTTTTTAGTCTCTACTGGCTTCTAGACACTTCTAGGGATGAGTTTCATCGAGGCTTTTATTCAGGGACATTTCAGACATACAAGATAGACAAAAAACCCAATTCCTTGGGCAAACATGGTGGGTTAAGAGGTGATGGATATTTTCTCTTTAGGGAGAGCCTGGGGTTGAGCCTTGGGTTCTGCTTGATTGCTGGGCTGTCTGTGTGCCATGCCCCCCTTCCCAAGACACCCAATACCAGCTGTGACAACAGGCTTGCAGCTCCCCAACCTGCCAGCACAGCAGTCATGGAGGGACCCATGGGAGTAGTCTGGGCCACTACTATATATATATATACACTCATACTATACATATATATATACTCATGAACACATACATACATGTTTACGTTTTTTTTATCTATTTACAAGAGCATGTAGTGACAGGACAAGGGGGAACAGCTTCAAACTGAAAGAGAGCAGGCTTACACCAGATATTAGGAAAAAATCTTTACTGTGAGCGTGGTGAGGCACTGGAACAGGCTGCTCAGAGAAGCTGTGGATGCCCCATCCCTGGAAGCGTTCAAGGCCAGGCTGCATGAATCTCTGAGCTGATCTAGTGGAAGGTGTCCCTACCCATGGCAGGGGGGGGTGATCTTCAAGGTCCCTTCCAGCCCAAACCACTGTATGATTGAACGATATTTTATCTACGTACATATTGCATATCTCTGTCTATTTTACCTGTTTTCCTATTTTTCCGTGCTCACACACGTGCTCACGATCACACCATCCCCGGGTTCTGCTCCCGTGGGGAGAGAGGGGGCGTGGCCTGGCGCGACTGACACGCCCCTTCCGCTGGGCCCGCCCCTCCCCGCCGGCCCCGCCCCTCCGCCGGGCCGGGCCGGGCCGCTGGGCCATAAAGGGGCCGGGCGGGGGGACCGCTCCTGGCTCGGCTCGCTTCCGCCGTCCGCCTCCCCCTCGCCATGGCCCCCAGCCGGCGCAAGCTCTCGGTGGGACTGGGGCTGGCCGGGCGGCCTGCGCCTCGTGGGGGGCTGCTGATGATCCGTGGGGCTCTCATCATACAGGAGCAGGTCATAAGGTCAGCAGGGCCGGGGGCTCGGAGGGGCGCGGCGGATGCGGGGTGCGGAGCGGGCTGTGCGTGTGGGAGCCGGTGCGTGCCAGGGCATCGGTGTGGGGCTGGTCCGCGTCCGGTGGGAGTGCGTGGATGCAGGGTCGGTGGCGGTGCGGAGCGGGGTGTGCTGGAACTGGTGCGTGGTGCGGGGGCTCGGTGTCGGTGCGGGATGATGCAGGGTCGGTGGCGGTGACGGTGCGGAGCAGGGGGTGTGTTGGAGACGGTGCGGGATGCGGGTGTGATGCTTTCACAAGTGGAAACAGGATAAATGATGTGCAGTAGCACTCGGAAGGAGCCTTGGGCAGCTTCGGTGTCGGTGCGGAGCGGGGTGTACCGGTGCGGGATGCAGGGTCGGCGCTGGTGCGGAGCGGGGTGTACCGGTGCGGGATGCAGGGTCGGCGCTGGTGCGGAGCGGGGTGTACCGGTGCGGGATGCAGGGTCGGCGCTGGTGCGGAGCGGGGTGTGTTGGAGCCGGTGCGGTGCTGGCTGGTGTGTGGGCACGTTTCCTTTATGCAGTGCGGTCCCGAGAGCGTGAGGCAGCCGAGCCCTGGAGGTGACAGTGTCGCAGCTGCAATCCCGAGCAGCCTCAGGATCTTACTCTAAGTAAATCCGTGCTTGGGATATTCCACCCCTGGGGTATTTCACTCCTGACGACGGCAAACGTATCCGGAATGAGCAGGTTCCCACCCTTGATTTACGAGGGCTCTTTGCATCCCTGGAATTGGCTGGGCACCCAGTGCTGGGCTGAGATCGCCCTGGGCACCAGCCCTTCCTCCCATCCCTCCTGTCTCTACCTGCAGCACCAGTTGTTCCTTTCATAAGTAGATGGGCAGACTGTCAGTCTCAGTGTACTCTGGTGTGATGCTTTTACGAGTGGAAACAGGATAAATGACGTACAGTAGCACTTGGAAGGAGCCTTGGGCAGCTTCTGAGCAGCCTCTTGAGTCCTCTCCCCTAGACTGAAAACCTAAAGAGTTGCTTCTCAGAAGACCTGTCTTATCCCCAGGAGAGGTCCTGGGGCTGAAGAGGGTTTGTCCCCCACAGTGTGGGTCTGTGGATGGAGTTGTTGGTCTGTTCAGTAACTGCTGCACTTCTTGTGAACCAACACTCCTGTCCCTGCTGCCAGGACCCCAGTTATCCTGCTGTAATGTGGAGCTTATTTAGCCAAACTGTTTTCTCGCTGTCCAAAGCAGATGTGCTCCTTGCCTGGGCCTTTCTCCAAGCTTCCACCTACCCAGGTCAGCCCCTGAAAATGGGCTTCTGACGAAAGAGGTGAACAAACAGCCAATGGCTGTCATTGCATGTGATGCAAAGTCTCTGCCGAAAATGACCTACTTAAACATATCCCCTGCAAGTGCTGCTGTCTGGGCAGAGCCAGGCAGTCCTGTGGATTAAACAGTAGAAAAATCTTTGTTCAGTTTCATGGACATCAGGAGCTGGTACCTGCAAATAAAAGGCTGGATGGCCCCTGCAGAACAGAAATTACTTTTTTCTTTTTCTTTTTTTTTTTTCCCCAAAAACCTTTCTGCCCTCTTTTTAGCTAATCCTGATTCTTTCAACCTAATTAGCTAAATCCTAATAATTTGCAATGAGAACAGAAGATGAGGAAAAGACCAACTCTTGTTTCTCCTCCCTTCATCTCAAGCACTGGTCTCCACATCTTCAAAATGACCCAAAATGGCCCTGAGCTCTTACTTTTTCCATTTCACATTAAGCCTCATAACTGAGTGATGATGGGTGGTGAGAAGTATCCAGGGGCTCACTGAAACTCTTGGGTTGGTCTTCAGAGTAGTCTGGGTGAGGGAAGCTTAAAAGGCTGGTCTTGGGCAGGTGAAGGTTTGTTTGCCCATGCTGGCTTCCTGAGCTCTGTCAGGATGGTGATTCCTGATGGAAAAGCGCTTGGTTACAAAGAGGTGGTAGTTTCAAGGATATCTTTGGGTAAAATCTGTAGGAGAAGACACAGTAGAAAGAGGGAACTTGGAGCCTATCTCCTACCCCAACTGCAGAAACAATCTAAATTGGGCTGCCTGTGGTGTTGGCCATGCAAACCCTGGGGATATTGCTTCTCTGGAAGCATCTGGAATGCCACAGACTTGCCTACAAGGTATGAGCCTGAACACAGTGAGGCTTCATCAGCTCATCCCTCTGCCACCCGTTGCTGCTGCACCTGGGAGCTCTGGTGCTGTCCTGGCTGAAGGCTGGGAGTGGGCTGACAGCCCTGTCCTCGCTGTTCTAGCAAGGTGAGGAGGAGGGTGGTGAGAGGAGGTGCAGGGTGAGGTCTGACCGACGCCCAATGTGATTGCTCCTCTCAGTCTGCAGGGGAAACCTTGACTCTCGGTTTTGCTGATCAGGGTGGCTGAAGCCTCCCTCCTGGAGAAGCAGGATTTGGGTGTTGCGGTGGAGCTGCTGCTCTTCTGGTCCTGTCTGGAGCCAATGGGCAGTAACCAGTTCCCTTCAGTTCCTCAGGAACAAGGATCATCCTGGTTAGAAGGGATCAAACATCCCAGTGACACTTTATAACCCATCTAAGTTGACAAATACTCCATTTTATCTAAGTTGACAAGTACTCTATTTTTATTTCAGGCATATGACCATGTTTGTTTTGACCTACAAGTAGCTTAATTCCAAGGCTACCCTGTCAGTGGATATTACTTAGCAGCACCTATGGAGCACCTTGAGCTCCTGTGCCCAGATGGGAGGGGGCTGGGACAGGCAGCCTTGAGCTGGGATGCTCAAAGGTCCTGGATGCTGACTGGGTACATATTACATAAATAAATGCATATGCAACAGGTGATTCAGGGAGTGCAAGACAGAACAAACAAGTAAAGGAAACCAGATGCTCCTGATCATACTTGGCTGGACACTTGGGAATCAGGATTGTAAAGCAGAGTAAATAAAAAATTGTCCTATCACTGCTTCTTTGCCCTGAAATCCTTCAGGCTAGCAGGATGGAGGCCCTTGTCCAGCAGCATGTGGGCATGGAAGTGGAGGTGGGAAGGGTTTGCTGGGTTAGGTGGATTACACTGCACCGTGGAGGTGTCTGCTTAGGGGTAGGGCTTGGATGAGGGGCTTGCAGAGCCCTGCTGCTTGTGGGTAGCCCAGCCTTGTCATGAAATGACTAAAGAAAGATGGGGTGTTGTGGGGAGGCCTCTGGCAGCCTTCTGTCTCAATCCCCTGTGCCAACAAATACGCACCCTGATCAAGTTGCTCCAGAGCAGGAGAGCTGTTGAGGGGTTGCTGAGCTGCACTGTGATAAAGCTGCACTGTGATAAGCCCACATGCCTTCAGCAGTTAGTGGATCAACCCCACTTCCATAAGCTGACTGCCTTACCTAACCAGGGCAAGGATTTGTGCCTGCAGAAGAAAAGATTATGGTGGAACACACCCAAAGTACATGTTCAAGAAGGAACAGGCTGTTACCCCTAATGCAGCCCCCCCGAAGGCAAGGAGGGAGTGGAGGCAGGTGTATGCAGATGCCAGCTCCTGAGCTGAGGAGGGCTTAAGTTGTCTTTGAGCTCCTGCAGTCATTTCACAGCAAACAGGACAATGATGTGCAAACACAATTGTGTGTTGTCTTTGACCTGCTTCATGATCAACTCTGAGTCAATGCAGGATGGCAGCTGAGAGGAATCAGAGGTGTCCTGTGCTGTTAGAACACAGCTCGGTTGCCATCCCAATTCTCCATCTTCTGGGAATCTAATGGACTCTTCCTGCTGGTATCCAAACAGTTGTGAGGATAGCTGTCACTTCTCCCAACCGTTGCCTCCTGACTGTGTGGAGCTGCCAAACCTACAAGCGAAGGCCTTTGGGGCAAGGTTGTTCTGCCAAGCAAATGAAAGATGCAGAGGTGTGAATAATTCAGTGCTGGTTTGTCTAGTGCAGAGTCTCCAGCACATCAAAAGAACTCTCAAATCCTGTGGGTAGGATCTGTAAAATGGAGCCTGAATAAATAAGCCAACAGGCATCCTGTAGCATAAACTTGATGTTTCTGCATATGTAAAAGTTCTCAGTTCAGATTAGTTCAGTTTCAGTCCGCCCACCTTGATCCTCCAGAGAGCCTCTGCAGGATCTGTTGCCTTCAACTGGGCTTTACATGGAGCTGAGGGTGGATATGCTCATCTGCAACCACAGAGCCAAAAAGTTGTCTCTCCTTGCTCCTTTCTTCACTTCTTTTTTTCTCTCTTTTTTTTTTTTTCCTCCCCTTACAGAACGTCAGGATCGACCCCAGCAGCATCTCCTTCAACATGTGGAAAGTCGTTCCTGTTCCTTTCTACTTGTCTGTGCACTTCTTCGAAGTGCTGAACCCCAAGGAAGTCCTCCAGGGAGCGAAGCCGGTGCTGACCCAGCGTGGACCCTACGTGTACAGGTCAGGGACCACTTGTGGTCCAGGTCAGCTGCTGGCTGACTCCTCTGGCAGGAGGGCATGGCGCTGCATACTTGGTGTGAGTCCAGGTTTTTTTAAAACCCTGCCAGAGGGTTTTAAAGTGACCCAAATGTACTCTAATTGCTCTGATCTTGCTAAAGCCACTAGTAGGACCCCTGGCCACTGGGGTGATAAAACTGATCTCTTCTTCACTATGTTGTAGAGCTCAGTCCTGTGCTGGGGCCTGCTGGACAGCCAGACCTGGGCTGATAAGGTCCAAACATAGGCATGAGGGGTGTTGGTGTAGTGGTGAGTGACCCTCATCTTCAGAGTGTACTCATTTCATCTTCACTGTGCATTTAAGAGTCCAGCTCTGGAGCTGGAGTCACCTCAATATCAAACTTCATGGGTTCTTATCTAATATGAGACCCAGAATCTGCTTAACATGAGTGTTCTGGTCATGAGAACCAGTACAGACCACTAAAACTTGGTTAGACCTCTTTGCCATGGCTGAAGTCCCAGATGCTTCTCTGCACCTGAAACATGAAGTGATGGTTGATGCTGAGTTGAGAGTGTGAATTTACCCATCAGTAGTCATATTTGACACGTTAGTGCCTACTCTAATGTGGCAAGGTTAAGTCAGCAGGCTAAGCAAGCTCATGTGGAAAGATTACTGATTAATCCAAAGCTGAGCAGTGCTGGGGGGAAACCTGGCAGTATGTATATGCCCTTGTTTCATCTGGGCTTGCCAGGTCATACCATGTGGGTTCTGTATGTTGTGATCCAATCAGTCACTTGGCTTGGGGAAAAGGCTTCACTTATTGTAAATCAGAATAAACAAAGGGGCAAAGCTTATTAGTGTCCTTGTGTTCCCACTGAGCAAGATTAGTGCCCTTCCCTAATGTGGGCTGTAAAATAGAGGCTCCACAGTAAAGGACTTTGTTTTTGCTGGTGGGTTGAGCTTCAGTTCCTTCAGGAGCTGTGACAGGCTCATGGTGTTGGGGACAACCTCATGCTATGGCAGGGCATAGCAGCCTCCATGAGATTGGACTGCCCCTGTGGTGTGGGGTAAAGTCCAAGAGCACTGGGCAGCGTGCAGGAGTTGGATGGCCTGCAGCCCTGAGGAGCAGGAGGAGGGCCACAATGCTGTGCTGCCCTGAACCTGGAAGCTGTCAGGGAGCTTGGGAGCAAATCTGTGGGCTTACTGGTGGTCCTGTGGCATCTTGGCTGGTAGTCTCCTGTTTGCAGGTTGTTTTTAGTGTGTAGTTTGGCGTGGCTCTGCATATCTGGGCACCTCTTTGATGGGGCTGGGCTTTTCGACGTCTGTAAGCAAAGTGACAGAGGAGATTTACGCTTTTGTCTCAAACTTCTTGTGGGCTGGGTCTTGAGCTGGGAAAGAACACCTTGTGTCTGCAAGAATCCAGTCTCTCAGGGATGCCTTGCACCCGGACTTCCATCCCTCCTGCTAGACCCTAACTCTGATTGGGGTGGAGGCTGATACCTCCTCCCTGTGGTTTCTCCCTGGGGTTTGGTCTCCTCCACAAGCCCAGGCCGGTGCAGCCCATCCTTGCTCCAAAGGGGCTGTGGGGGCTCTGCCTGGGGGAAGGTTCCCATGACTTCTTTCATCTCTTTGCAGAGAGTACAGGTACAAAACAAACATCACGTTCCATGACAATGACACTGTTTCCTTCCTGGAGTACCGTAACCTTTTCTTCCAGCCAGACATGTCCAATGGCACTGAAGAAGACTATGTCGTCGTGCCAAATATTTTGATGATGGTAAGTGCTTGCTCCCTGGATGGGTTCCAACTTCTGAGCTTGCGGGGAGGGTGGTGAAGCCTAATGCTAAATCAAAGCTTACTTTCTTGTAGGGCTTAAGGCTCATCAAGCAACGAGGTGTAAAACTAATAAAACGCAATTTTCTTTCTGATTGTTAGTTGTGTTGCGCTTACTCTTCCAAAACCAGTGTGTGCATGTTCCAAAACCAGAGAGGCTGGCAAAGCAGCTGGGCTTGAGTATGAAACCTCCCCTGAGCATCCTGTGGGGAAATGAAGCCTGTGAACCCTCAACTGCTTTCTTCCCAAACTGGGAATAAATGAAGAACCTCAGTCTGTCCAATGGATTTCTCTGGGGCTATAGATGGGAGCAGCAGAAGGATCTTGCTGAGCACCAAAGATTATGCTTGTCTGGTAAAGATGAGGCTCTCATTGCAGAGGTTTCTTTTCTTTTCCAGGGAGCAGCTGTAATGATGGAAAAACTGCCAAATTTTGTGAAGCTTTTACTGAGTGGAGCCCTGGCTGGCATGAAACAGGAGGCGTTCATGAACCGGACGGTGGGGGAGATCATGTGGGGCTACGAAGACCCTCTTATAGACACAATAAATACACTTGTTCCTGGTCTGATTCCTTTCGAGGGGAAGTTTGGCTTGTTTATAGAGGTGAGTAAAGTGTTGGTTGGGAATGCTAAAATCACAGCAGTAGTGGTCTTGGGGGTAGCTCAGGCACTTAACTAAGTTGAAGTTATTTAGCTGGCAGTATGTGAAGCACCCCTAGAGCTGGTGAAGCACACAGAGTTGTAGTCCTGCTGTGTGTAGTGGATTAAAAAGTCTTCTCTCTGCAGTTTAACAACTCCAATTCAGGATTGTTCACAGTGAACACGGGCATGAAGAACATCAGTCAAGTTCACATGGTGGATTCATGGAATGGGCTAAAGAAGGTAAGTACCAGGTGGCAAACCTTTAATACAGGGGCAATGCCTGAGATAAACTAAGATAAACTGAAAGTTCTAGGAGCTCTTGTCTCTGGGTCATAGGTTTGAAGACAAGTTTCTAAACTGCTGCAACTTCTGTTCTAGGAAGTTGCCAGGAGGCAGCCCTGTGGCAAGGGGCTTGTAAGGAAGCATTAAATTCAGCTTCTCATGGGTGTCACTTGGACTCCCTTGAAATGCTGTTGGAGCTGGTTGCCTCTAATGGTTGAAGTCTCAGGCCCCTGTGGCCTGTGTTTAAGGTACTTAAATACCCTTGTTAAAGGGATGCTTTATTCTTCCCTCCTGGAATATCACTCCTAACTACAATCAACTGAATCTACACATCAAACACAATGGGTGGTGGATCTTTTCTCCATTAACTGGGCAGATGTTTGACTGATGGAATCACTGAGGTTGGAAAAGACCTTTAAGATGGGAAGGATCTTTGATGTTCTTTGGTGTTGTGCTCTCTGTGTGCTGTGGAGGCAGTGCAGGGTGGTGGATGTCCCATGCAGGGGTGGAAGCCAACTCCAGCAAACTCACCCTTCTGAGCTCTTCTCTCTCCACCTGTCCCACAGGTGAACTACTGGCGGAGCAGCGAGTGCAACATGATCAATGGGACGTCGGGGGAGATGTGGCCACCGTTCATGCCCCCGACCTCGCTGGAGTTCTACAGCCCTGATGCCTGCAGGTGAGGCCTCAGCTGCCAGCCCGTCCCTGTGCAGGTGTCAGGACACACTGCACTCATCCTGTGCACACAGAGTACCTGTGCAGTGACGCAGAGGCCTCAGGACTCGTCTCTGTAGTTAAAGTTCAGCTGCGGTTCGGGGTTGCAGTATCTGAGCTTAGCAAACAGCGCAGTTGTCTGATTATCAGCATCTTGTGGTGTCCATAAATACCTCCCAGATCACCGGAGGAGTCCAACTTGCCCGCGTTGAATCAGTAGAAAATAACCAGTCTAGATAAGATGTGGGCAGCGAGAGGGAGAAGTGGGGGTTGTCAGGAGGAAATGCAGCTGTAACTGTTTGCAGAACTTTTTTAGCTGACTAAACCCTTGTAGAAATTATGTCAGAGGGGAACTTGTGCCACTATTTCACGTCTCTCTTAGTTTTTGGGTTTTTTTTCTTTTTTTTTTTCCTACCTAGGTGATGCACTGCTTGCCTGTCCTGTATAAGACACCCTGACCTTAGCTGATCACACAGGGACTAAAGTACCCTGCAGAGCCACCCCGTGTGTGTATACCTGAGGCTGGAAGGAGGGCAAGCAGGCACAAAAACCCTGTGCTCAGCTTGGGGAAGCTAAGGTTAACTCTAGCTCTGTAGATAGTGCTGCAAAACAAGCAGCATGTTGAATAGGGAACAATGACCTCTTCAGTGAACAAACAAAGGCAGCTGAGCCAAGCAATAGTACAGGAATTCCTCTGCACAAGGGACATCAGCAAACACTGAAGTGACCTGGAGCTAGGAACTTACAGGGAAGTTTACCTGTAACCAAAGTTTAAATAAACATACCTGTTTCTGTAAAAATACAGAAATCTGTAGAAAACAAAGCATGCTGCCAGTGAAGTGGAGGACACCAAACTTGGTTTCCTGTTAGCATAGGAGGGTCCTGCCAGGCAGAACTGTGGGGGAAGTGGCTCAGCCTCTTCACTGGGCAGTGCTGTGTCTTCTCCCCAAACTTCTGCCTCAGCCTCTGTGTTCATCCAGAGTCACAAACCTCGGCTGATAGACTAAAAGTGTATCTACCTTGCTGCAGGACAGGCAGGGCTCATCTCCTGTGCAGCTGATTGATGCTGAGGTGCAACTACCTGGTTATCCCTGCAGGGTAGGCAAGGTTTTACCCTGGTGATGTGCTACAGCAGCTTCTGCCTCCCTGCTGGAAGGTGAGCAGAGCCAAGAGGCATGAGTGTAAGTACTCGACATGCCCTGAATCCTTAGTCCTGGTGTCAGAAGGCATCTGTAGGCATGAGCATCCCCTTGGCAGGCCCAGGCTGTCATGGGTCCCTTCTGTGACCCCTTACCCATTCTGTGATCCCTGCAAGCCTCAATCAAGTGTGAAGGGAGCAAACTTTTATCCTGGAAACTTGCATCGATCCTGGCCAGCTGGTAGCAATACTGCAGTGTAACATCAATAGCCTATTGTAGCAAGAAAAAAAATCTTGCTGTGTCATGTGGTAAAATTTTCCACTCCCCTGACAATGGCTGGAGTTGGGCTTCAAAAGAGATTTATGCAGTGTCCATCCCCTGTAATGGAGCACCTCAGAGCCAAGGCTTGCACAAAGTGGGTATTATCTCTTGGAGAGCTGCCCTGGGGATTACTACGTGCCTTTTAAACAAATCTCACCTGGATACAGCAAACAGATTTATAAGCCTGTGGTTTCTCTCCGTAGCTAGTCCTGACCAGCCCTTTATCTGTGCTTAAAACATGGAAAGCAAAAAGCTTAAATATTCATTCCCCATCCCAAGCACTGCTCTGAGGGTTTATCTGGATCTCAAAGTCTAAGTTACATTGCAACTGCATCTTATCCAGCCAAGATAAGAACCCAATTCTGGGCTGGGATCATGCTGGCTAATTCCAATCCTTCTCCACCGAAACCCAGATCCCTGACACTGGTGTACGAGCAGTCTGGAAAGTTCAAGGGTGTTCCCACCTATCGCTTTGTGGCGCCGAAAACCCTCTTTGCCAATGGCACAGACTATCCACCCAACGAGGGCTTCTGCCCCTGCATGCAGTCTGGCATCCAGAACGTCAGCACCTGTAGGCTCAGTAAGTCCTTTTCTCCCGTCTGTCCCTGCCGTACTGGTATTAAATTTGAGACAATACAAGCTTGGCTGTCTGGAAAACCAGCTCTGGTGTCTGCCAGAGTGCTGAAAGGTGCTGCTGGGCTCTGCACACACTCCACAGGCACCTCAGCAAGGAGGGAAGGAAGGCAAACCCTTGTGCCCAAAGTTCCTTTGGTCCCTGGCCCTAGGACGGCGTGGCGCTTGTGGGAATGCCCAAGGATACAGTGGGAGCTGGGGAGAGAGCAGGCAGAGGAGTGAGGAAGAGTCAGCTCATGTAACTGCCAAATTAAATATTGGCTTTGAATACTAAGTGTGGGTCACCCAGGAGCGAGAATCCAAACTTAGTGTCCTGACCTGCATCTGGGAACAGCGAGTTACCACAGCATTGATCAGTGCATGGTAGGAGAGGGTGGCTGGTTTTAATCCTCTCAGGGCAGTGGCATAACCTGTGGGGAGGGAAGGGAAGGAGCCTTCTGGTTGGGAGGAAAAAGGCATAAAAGCCTGTTCAGAACAGGTAATGCAAAGGCTTAGAAACCTCAACAAAGTGTTCCAGGTGGGTGTGGAGGATCTTAAGATGCCTTTGATCTCATCTAGATGCACCAATGTTCATTTCCCACCCTCACTTCTACAACGCCGATCCTTCCCTGGTGAACGCCGTCGTGGGCCTGAACCCCAGCAAGGACCAGCATGCACTTTTCCTGGATGTGCACCCCGTAAGTGAACCCATTGGGGTCCTCCCATCTCCCCACGGGCCAGCCCAGGCAGGGGAAGGGAGCCTGCCATCAGCTGAGTGGTGGCCACACTCTGCTCTCATGGCATTGATTTGAGCAGGTTCCATAGTGCAAAGACTGGTGAGGACATGTGCAGATAAAATTGTCAGAGCCATAAACTAACTAAGTAATTAGCCTGGCTTCTGGGGAATTACAGGACTAATTATAAGCGTAATTGTTTCGATAAGCGCAATCAAGTTCTTTCTACTGACTCAGGTCTATAACACCAGGAGGTGTATCTGGCAGCAGCCCAGCTATGCCCCAAATCTGCAAACACGTATTGCCATGAGAAACTGGCTGCCAAAGGCTGCAGATCATGCTGTGGCTCAAGCTGGCACCACCAATTTTTGGTCTAGCTTCTTCCAGTCTCTCAACCTGCCCATCGAAATGGCTGCTTTTGCCCTGGTCTGCTGCTGTGTCACACTCCCCACACATCCACAGCGTAAGGGTGAAGTCACCATTCCAGGGGGCGTGAGTTGGGGCATCCTGAGGTGCTGTTGTCCCAGCTGCTGATGGGGAGGGGACTTTGGGATTTTCCACCCACAGCCTCTGTTGTGTATGGTCAGTTTTTCCAAACGTTCAGTGATGTTTGCTCAAGCTAAAAGCCAATTTCCCTCTTGAGGCAGGTAAACTGTGTGTCTTATCTGCACACTGGGTTCTGACTGCTTTTCTTATCGCAGTTATGAAAATCTAATTAAGTTTATTACAGTATCAAACATCTACTGATAAAAGTAAAGTTAAATATGTTCTTATCTAGCTGCAGTCTGCTGAGTAAAACAGGGACAGTCCAACAAAAATTCTTTGCTTGTAAAAATGTGTTGCAAAACTGCAGAGTCATGAGATACCACTGCCTTAATTGGTGCCAACAAGACCCGGCTTTGAAGTGTGATGTTTTCATGGTCTTGGGGTATTGCTGGACAGGATCTGTTGGTTACTACAAAGTCACTTAGAGGTTATTGATTAACTGGTTGGTGTCTTCCTGTGCAGATGACGGGCATCCCCATGAATTGCTCTATCAAGCTCCAGCTGAACCTGTACATAAAGCAGGTGTCTGGTATAATGTAAGTAGTCACCTTCTAGAAGGGTCCATCTCCCTTCCCTGAGCAGGGAGTGCTGCTGAGCCACTGCAGAGTTTACTCTCTCCAAAGATGAAGCAGCTTTACCATGACCAGTTGTCCTGACTGGCCAGAGCCAGCTGGCTCCTGCTGAAATGTCAGCCATTCCAGTGACCACCAGCTGCCATCCTTTAGCAGTGCAGGTGTGGCTGCCTGTTTGCTCAGCTCTGACAGTATTCCTGTTCCTGACCAGACAGCTCATAGATGGACTGCTCCTCCTGATGAAGCAGGAGCTGTTCACTTGTGCTGTGTTGCCTCTCAGGTGTTACCTCCAACGTGGAGAGGCCAAACATTCTGCCTGCAGGGTTAACAGTGAAGTCTGTGTCCAGAAAGACACTTCCAGCTCTATGAAAGCAAACAGGAGGTTTCTGTAACCAAGTTGTGTGGTGCCAGATGTTCAATATCCACAAGGGTGGGAGTGTGCTCTTGCTGCTTTGGCTGAGGTGCACATACCTGCAGACAGTCCCCATGCTGCCAACTTGGCTGCACCACCCCATTCTACCACCCAGGTAACTGAGACATGAACTGTAGCATTCTGCTTCACTGAGTTTCATGTCCCTGGAGCCCAGGTTTGGGATGGCACTTAGTGCTGTCTTCAGGCAGTTCATCCCAAATCAAAGCATAAGCTCTGCTCTTGCATGAGAAGCCCAGCTTGGACCTGGTCCCCTACGGTGGGAGCAGCTCATTGAAGCAGCAGGGATTGCCACCTCCTTACACTGGTTTCCTGGCCACTGTCAGTCTATCAGACCCATCCCCTTAGGAAGAATTATGGCACTAATTGTGGCTTGATCAACCATAAATCTAAGTGTGTGTTTCTGTTTTTAATTCTCTTCCCCCCCAGTCAAACAGGGAAGATTGAGCCAGTGGTCCTACCGCTGCTGTGGTTTGCAGAGGTGAGCTGCCTTCCTCGACCTGATTCTGTAGAGATTCTTCTGCTTCCCCATCACCCAGTGCTGGAGAAACTCCACTTTGGATAAAGCTTAAAGCCAGCCAGACTAATTAAGCACCAACAGAAGGCTTTTCAATACTTGGCTATGTCATTAATCCCTCTGAGCTGAACAAACCCTGCACTATACTTGGTAAATCTCTGGCTCTGCCCTAGATGTGGGGTTAAATAGGGCCTTGGACAGAGCTGCCAGCATCCCTGTACTAATGTGGGCCAGGGAGTGTAGCCCCCATCTGTGTGCATGTCCAGCTGACTCCAGCTATTTAGTAAAAGCTTCTAGCCTGACTGAATCTTGCATAAATTCCCTAATTTAGGCTGGGAGGGTGTGGGAGAGGAATTGTTCAGCTGGTGTGTGTCAGCCCTGGATGGGAGGGAAATGCCACTGACAACTCTGCTTTTTTGAGCAGAGCGGATCCATCGACGGCTCAGTCCTAAACCAGTTTTACACCAACCTGGTGCTGTTCCCATCACTGCTGGAATACCTGCAGTATATCGTCCTTGGACTGAGTGTCCCACTCATTATCTCAGCAGCTGTGCTCATGGTAACGAATAAGGTAAGAATCTGCAGATGTCTAGTAGGACATGCTGTTAGTCAAATCAGACTTAATCAGATGATGTAGATTGGGCTGACAATCTAACATTCCTGAGGAAACATTGGCTGATGCCACCAACAATCTCCTAATGGTGCCAGGTGCCAGCAGATAGCAGCAGGACTTCCTCAGCCACCCGGAAATTGGGCTGCAAATAGATAGCATAAAGCATTTGTGGCTTTCTTGGGGCGCAGTGGTGATGAAAGCGGCTTCATGAAGGAGGAGGTATTTCTCAGCTCAGCCAACTGATGAAGAAACAAGCCTAGATTATCAACCCAGCCTCTGTAGAAGGCAGCAGCAGGTCTGTGCCACTGCACAAATCTGCATCTCTGCAGGGTCCCAACAGTTTTCCATTTAGAGCAGAGGCTTCTCCAGAGGATGGAGCTACTTGAGCACAGCTTGTTCACAGATGAAATGCAGTTGCTGTGTTCTTGCAGAGGAGATGCAGCCACTGTGGCTGCTTCTCAGCCCAGCTCAGATACCGTTTTCCACTGAAATCCACTTGGTTGCTGGGCAAAGTGCTCCAAGTAGCTCTGGAAGTGAAACCCACAGAGCCTTTGTGTATCTGGGCTTACAGAGAAGTGCAGACCTTTGAAGCCTGCCAGGATCTGGCAGCTGGGCAGCAGTTGGCCTGTGATGGGGCAGGCAGTGGGGGTGAGGCTGAGGAGCTGTCAGGACAGAATATAAAAGAGCTAAAACACTCAGTGGAGATCTGTGGCTCCGGCTTCATGACAGTGATCTGATAACACTAAGCTCTCTACAAGCTTTAGCTCTTGAAGTAGAGATCTAGCTCCCTGCCCTAACCTATATCAAAGCAAGCTGGTTTAGTTTTGCACTACAATCAGATGGCTTAGGCTGGCTCTAAAGCTACAGAGGTGGAGAGCTACTTGTGGGGATAAAAGGCAATGCTTGGGATAAGAGCGGACTAAGAAGAGGCCTGTGTGAGGGGCTTCCTTTGCTCAGCCTCCTGTTACTGCTCTAACTGAAACACTAATGCAAACCCACCTTAAATACCCCTGGAGTTCTCAGAGTATCACGTAATTGGATTTTAACCAAGCCTACAATTGCTTAAGTGACTTAAACACATGATCCCAAATCCCCTTGTTCCTCCACACAACTTCCCTGCAGGGTGGGAGCATTGCTAGGGCCCAGCATGGAGCCCAGTGCTCATTGCCAAACCCTTGTTGTGCTCCCAGGATGGTCCTGGGATGAATGGCTCCACTTCAGCACATGTGAGTGGTCGGTGGCAGACAGACACTCCGCCGCATTTCAGCGGGTCTGAGAAAGGGCTGGGCAGCTGTTTCTAACACCTTACATAGCCCTGAGCTGGCATTTCCTCACCCTGCTTTGTGGAAGTCTTAATTCCTGGTATCAAAGAGGTTTAACCATGCCAGAAAGGGTCAGGGAGAAAAGCTGGATTTTTAAACTCATTCAAGCCGACTGAATATCTGCTTGTGCAATGTCACAAATCCAGGTGTTAGCCAGCTGTGTTTCTGTGCTCAGCCAAAACTGTCATGAAGTGTTAGAACTGTGTCAACTGCAGAAAGTGCCTGACTACCTGGAAAGTGATTAAAGACCTCCAATAACCTTTTAAATTCCAAGAAAGCTGTACAACAACACAAATGTCTCCACCTAATTGAGTAGATAAGAGCTTGTAAACTGGAAGACAGCGATTTGCAGCCAAGGGGTGTTCCTCATTTGATTGAAGTGTTGCTGATCTGGCGCTGATTGCTTAATCGTGCACAGTTCTGCCTCTTGAAGTCACAGGCTGTGTCAGAGGGGACCCTGAGCGGGGACATTGTCCGCACCTTCACGTGTCTGCCAGCGTGAAGGTCTCCCTGAACCCAGCTCCTCCCTGGAGTGTCTTGTGTGCCTCTGGCTTCTGGAGGGAGCAGTGTGCTCTGAACCCAGTGCAGATGAGGTACTGTGAAACACTTAAATCTTAGTCTAGTTTATAGTGGAGCCAGTTTGAAATGCATCTGTTGGACACAAAGCTCTAAAAATGCATAACTCTGTACAGGTGTAAAACACACCCGGACGTTGTATCCCTCCTTTGCCATTGTGGCCTAGAGCCTGTGTGGTGACACATTTAAAAGGCAAACAGACCATTTTAAAACTGGCTTGACACTGACCAAAATCTTAAATAGGACTTAGTTTAATCTAAATTTTGAAATCTTCATTAATAACTAGATTCTAGTTCAACAGTGATTTTCAAATCTCCTCTGAAAATTGGAACCCTCATGAAATTTGTGTCCAAGTGCACCATAAACAAGACTGATTGTCTTCTAGGAAAAATGCTTTCTATTTTGGAGTAGCAATAAAAAGAACTCAGACAGTAATAAGGCCAACCAGGCCACCTCTGCCATAAAGCCGCCTCCGGTTAAGGGGATGGTGTTGCAGGAAGCCAGACTGTAGGTGGGTACCCAGTCAAGGTAACACGCTTTTCTCTCATCCTGATTTGATTAAACTTTGCTTAAAACCAATCAAATTAAACGTTTACTGTCCACATCTACCAGACATGCCCTCCTGGCAAGCTTTGATGGAACAACGTTGTCTCATGGCTTTATTCAGGGCAATTTAGATGTCTTAATACTCACACTTAACCACGTTGCAAGCACATACTCTTATTGTTTCTCCTGGTGTACCTGATCCGTGGCCCTAATACCAGCAGGGATCAGGGGGAAAAGTAAGGTTGGTGTTTCCACCACTCTTTTCTTGCCTATTTCCCCCCACTTCCCAGTGTCTGAGATCCAGAGGTAAGTTTTTGAATGGGGTAAAAACTCGTAGGGGTAACAGAGATAGTCAACTGGTGGGTGTCACCCTTCCCCTGCATGCAGGGAGCCTCAACAGAGAGGCTTTCAAGAGGGAATTTGTCATGTATAAAATATCTGGGTTTGTATTACAGGATCACAAAACCACTGAATCGTTGAGGTTGGAAGGGACCTCTGGAGGTCATCTAGTTCAGCATCTCGACCAAGCAGGGTCACCTAAAGCTGGTTGCTCAGGACCATGTCCAGATGTCTCTTAATATCTTCAGGGATGGAGAGTCCTCAGGGCAACCTGTTCCCATTGTTACAGCTTCACAGAAAAAGAAAAGGAAAAAAGTATTTCTTAATGTTCACATAGGGAATATCTTGTGTTTACATGCCACTTGGCTCTTGTCCTGTTCCTGGACATGACCAAGAAGAGCCTGGCTCTGTATTTGCACACTCCCTTCAGATCCTTGTATACAGTGGTAAAATCCCCCTGAACCTTCTATTCTTGAGGCTGAACAGTCCCAGTTCTCTTGGCCTTTGCTCACATAAGAGACAGTCCAGTCTTATAATCACTTCAGTGGTCGTTTGCTGGACTCCTCCCAGCAGCTCCATCTCTCTTAGCCCCGGAATCCCAGAATTGAACACAGTAGTCCATCTATGGCCTCCCCAGTGATGAGCAGAGGGGAAGGATCACGTCCATGACCTGCTGGCAACACTCCCAATGCAGCCCAGGATACAGTTGGCTGCCTTTGCTACACAGGCACACTGCTCATTCATGTTCAGCTTGATGTCCCCTGAGACTCTCGGGTCCTTTTCTGCCAAACTGCTTCAGAGCTGGGTGACCCTTGTTGTGTACTGGTGCATGGGGTTGTTCTTGCCCAAGTGTTGAACCTCATGAGGGTCCTTCCAGTCCGTTTCTCAGCCTACTGAGATCCCTTTTGGTGTATAAGCCACTCTCCCAGTTTTTGTAGATTGTTAATAAAGATGTTACACAGGACTGGACCCAGTATTGACCCCTGGTGTACACTGATGGTTACTGTCCTCCAACTAGACCTCATAACCCTCTGGGCCTGGCTGTCAGCCAGTTTTCAGTCTACCTCACTGCTCATCCAGCCCATACTTCATCAGCTTCCCTATAAGGTTTTTATGGGAGACAGTGTCAAAAGCCTGAAGTCCAGGTAGATGATATCCATTGCTCTCCCCTCATCTACCAAACCAGTCATTTCATCCCAGACATCTATCAAGTTGGTCAAGCACAATTACCCCTTGGTGAATCCATGTTGACTACTCCTGATGACTTTCTTTGTCCTTCATATGCCTGGATATGGTTCCTAGGATTAGCTGCTCCATCACCTTCCCAAGGATTGAAGGGAGGCTGACTGGCCTGTAGCTCCTGAGGTCTTCCTTCTTGATTTTCTTCAAGACAGAAGAGACATTTGCTTCCCTTCAGTCTTTGGGCCCCTTTCCCCATTGCCAGGATAATGGGGAGTGGCCTTGTTGTGATGTTAGCCTGCTAATCCCATCAGGATCCATGGATTTGTGTATGTGTAGGTTACTTAAGTATTCTCTGACCTCATCCTCTTCCACCAAGGGTGTGTCTTCCTTGCTCCAGACTTTCCTCTGGTTTCTGGGGTCCCCTGCCTCATTCAGGAACAGGCCTGCATGTTCCTTACTCTTTCTTTTGTCACCTGGGTACTTATAAAAGCCTTTCTTGTCTCTGACATCCTTGGCTGGATTCAATTCCAGTTGGGCTTTGGCTTTCCTATCTTCATCCCTGCATGCTGGGAGAGTGCCCCTATATTCCTGCCAGGTTACCTGTCCCTGCTTCCACCTTCCATATGCTTCCTTTCTGCATTTGTGTTTGGCCAGGAGCTCTTGGTTCATCCGTGTAGGCCTGCTGGTATTTTTTCCTGGCTTTGGGTGCTCGTTGGGTTCTTGAGCTTGGAGGAGGTGGTCCTTGAACATTAACCACCTTTTTTGCCCAGACTGTATACCCCCCCACCTGAGGTCTGTAGTCACTTTTAGAATCATAGACTCAGTAAAGGTTGAAAAGACCTCCAAGATCATCAAGTCCAATCTTCAGTCAAATAACACCATGCCCAAATAGTTTCCAGGTGGTCCTGGTGGTATCAGTGGTGAAGCAGCAGTGGGCAGTAGTCAAAGGGTTAGATAAGCCTCACAGTCCCTCCACAACACCCCAATCCCCAGTGAGCAGCAAATGTCTCTAGATGATGAGTCAGGTGGGCAGGTGGTGTCTCTGTCCCCAACAGTAGCGAGTGACCCAATTCTGTCAATTCCTGCTTCCCCCTGGGGTTCTTGTATGATTTATGGTCAGGGACCCACGTGATCTGCTTGAAGGTGTTTCTGACTCCTCCTCAGCTTTGAGGGTGGTGAACCTGTTCTGTAGGTGTAAGCCTTTAGGTGAGGAGGAACCTTCCTCTTGGTGTCAGGAAGCACCAGCTCCCCCCCTTCGCCTTCTCCATAGGCTGCACCTACCATTATACTGGGAATGAGTGCTGTCCATGTGTACTGCAGGTGGTGTCTGGGGGTCTTCAAGCCATTCTGTCCCTGAGAAGATCTCTCCATCATCCTCCCACAGCACACTGACTTTGTCCCGTATCTCCTCCACACAGCTCTTCAGGCTGGGGGCTTGGTGGGGTGTGTTAGCGATGTCGGTGGGCAGGAATGGAAATTACTTTGTTTTGCTGGGGGAGGAGGTACAAACCCCTTCAATTTAAGAAGCCTTCAGAAAAGGGTCGTGTGCCACGGGAAAATTCCAGAGGCCTGGGGTGGGCGTGGCCCACGTGGGGGTGCGGTGGCACGCGCTGCCAGGTGTGAGTGCGGTGCCACCGGCGCGTGCACCCCGTAACCTCTGTCCCTCCCCTGCAGGGAACCGCCGCCGAGAAGAGCCCACGTCCCCCCGCCAGGCAGAGCAAACCACCCCCCTCCTCCGAGACCACGCCGCTCCTACACGACGCTGACGCGCTGAGCCAGGATGACGCCGAATCCTGAGCCACCAGCCCCGCCACGCTTCCCACTGGGACACACCTGTGCTGGAGGCGAGGCCTGCTTTGGATCTCCAGAGGTCTCTGGAAGCCGAAGTTGTCCTGGACAGCTCAGTGGAGACCCTGCACAACCACAGCAAAGCCACGGGACAGTATTGCTGCACAGCACTCCCGTGCCAGGAATGGGAGACCTCATCCAGACTCTCAACACAACGTCCAAGAACCCTTGACCCCAAGGGCCAGCCTTTGCCACAGCCCCTCTCTCTGGTGGGCCAGCAGGAATGAAGGTGGTTGCTGACTGATCTGAGAAGTTATTTGCAATTTAGAACTGCCTATTGCTAGGGATAAAAGGCACTTTAATGGGAGCCTTTAAAACAAATGAGGTTTGTGTAGGTAGCAGGGATGGGATTTAGTGATCTTTTTAAAAGCTACCGTTACTCTCACTGAATGGGGCAGTTGTGCTGGAGCCAGTTATGGTTTTATTGCCACTTGATGTAACTGGACTACACTACAAATCAATTCTGGGTGCTGTCACCTCACTGATGTCTCTTCTGAGGGTACCTGGAGCCTGCCCAGGGTTGCTCCAGGCTTTGCATGTTTTGGAGAGTACAGTGGTGACTTTTAAAGCCCCAGTTCTGTGCCATGACCTTGCACTCCAGTCATTCCAGCTCACAGCCCTGTTACTTTGCCTCTCCTTGTTGTCAGTGACTGCGTGAGATGAGCCTTGGCAAAACCTCTGTGGTACATCTGAGCTGTCACTCAGCTCTTGGCAGTTGTCCCTGCTGCCTGCTCAGCCATCCAGGGTCAGCTTTTCTGGCTGTGGCTGTCAGCGTTGGGAAGCTGTTGGTTGCTCCAGCCACTCTGCCTGACCATGGGAAGGGGGAAGCTTAACCCTGTCCTTGAGTGTTAATGAATATATCTGTGCTTTTGAGAGCAAGGAATATGTGCAATCATGAAAGTAACAATGGCCTTAGTACAGTTTGATTAAACTATTGCAGATTTCTGAAACGGTGTCTTGGGGGACCTGGGCCTGGATATTACCTTGGGGTGGGTGGGCTGGGATCACACTTCAGTGGAAAAGAAGCCCAAAGCACAGGGATATTTTTGTCTAACTACCAATCAGTAGTTGTCTACCACACTTGCCTTCTTCACTTCCAATCAGGAGCCAGGGTAGCCCTTAGGAAAACTAAAGGGGCCAATGTTGAAGCATCTGGCAAGGACAAAACAGAGCTGGGTCTTCCTTGGACCAGAGGAATTGTTGCACTGTGTGTGGCATGAATACTGTTGGGGTCTGGAAAGTGTTGTCCAGGACAACCCTGTGACCTTCTTGTGGGGTAAGCAATACTTTTCTCTTTAGACCTCTGTCCATCTTACTGGGCAGGAAGAGCACAGGAGCTAAAACCAACATCACAATTCCTGTGCCAGTGCATTCCTTACTGGCCATGTTCCCAGTCCTGCAGTGGGTTTGGGCTGCCTTACTGTGGAAACAGCTGTGATACAGCCTGGGTCATGACAGGGAAGGGTGGCAGCTCCCCAGAACTTGGTCCATGGGCTGAACTCACCTTGATGCCTGAAGTGTGTCTCACAGGTACAACAGGACTAGCCAAGTCCCTTCTTGTGGCCACTACTGCTGGGTTATCTCTGTGGCACGAGTCCTCACTGAGGGTGATGCTTAAAGTACAGCTGTAAACTCTCTCTGGCCTTAAATCCAAACGTACTCAGCTGCAAACAGCAGCTCACACCTACAGCCTTGGCCAGCGGCGACGGACACAGGAGTGGGGCAGAGGCTCTCTGGGACACCAGCCCATCAGCTCAGACCTATGAGACCCAAAGCTGAGGGCAGAGCAGCGATAACCACCCCGTGAGCTCCCTGCGAGAGGCTTTAATGACATACCGGTGCTAATTGCTGTTGGACAAGTGAACGCAAATAAAAACACGGGAATACCGCTCCTAGCACGAGCTTTGGTGGTCGGTTTGTTCGGGTTTTGTTTGTTTGTTTGTTTGTTTGTTTTTGTGGCTTTGCGGCAAAGCGCTCCCCGAGAGCTCGTCCTTTC